TTTTATAGATAACGTTAACACTAGCGGTGCTTAGGCACGTTAGTTCCCTTGGGATGGCAACAAGCCGCAGAGACTATAATAGTAACTGAAATAGTAAAGGTATACCAGAGCAGTGACAAGTACAAGTTAGTACAATCTCACATGCCCTAACATAGAAATAATACGTACTTCAAATATTGTGAAGTGCATTAAGTATATGTTAATAAAAACCTAAACTATTGGCACACCAGTGTTATAAAAAAAAAAAAAATTTATTAAAAGACTTTTTAGACAAACTATATTTTTATACTTATAATAATTCTATAATTTAATAAATAAATAATTATAGTTAAAAAATCTTATACACTCAAAAACTTTTTTCCATCTATCCTAAATTTTCTTTTTAGGAAGTACTTTTTCAAAAAATCAAAAGTCTTTTCATATAATTATTAAAACACATCCAAAAACCAAAAGAAGTCTCCAACATAATCAAAGATATATATACTTACAAAGCTAACATATAATATTCTTATTATTTATAGAAAAAGAAAACAGATAATCCTTCTTATCCAGGAGGACAAGGAAGCAAACTTCTTGATTCACAATTAGATCCCAAGGAGCCAAACCCATTGCCAACCTTATAATCAGGTCCATATCAGATTAAATATTTTTCTAGATATTGCAAGAACTCTTAAAAGGCCAGATCTCATCCAATAAATCAGACAACCTCATTATCACCTTGAGAGCTGGAAGGGTTCAAAGCTCCCCATCAACTGGACAAAGTCAAAATTCATTAATGTATAAACCAATAGATTAAAAACTATAAACAGTTTACTCCACAAAAACTCAAGTTACATAAACACATCAATACCAAAACTATAACAACATAAATAATAACAAGCATAATACGTACCATATGCGACTTAACTTGACACATACAGTTTGTGATTTACATTTTACACCAAACACGTGTTGCACATGATCCCATAAACAAATTAATAAGCAAATACATCCTCACAAAGTTGTATACTCATCAATCACAAAACAACTGTATTTATATCAACATAAATCTCAACAAATAACACATCTAATAGATATAATCAAACATAAAATTAATTTTTAATAATGTCTAACAACATCACATCCAAATTCCTTATAACAACAACAATATCCTTAACCAATCAATTGAACCAATATACAATACCAATAACAATGCCGTTACTTAACAACACAGTACTACCATCCATACAATATGCTCTCTTAGATGTGATACTAATATAGTCAGGAATTTTATCTAATTTAGGAGGCCAGTTCTCAAAAATTCTGAGCAAATCTTACAATCTGATTGGCTTAATGCAAAAAATTTTTATGATGCTTTTATTGATCCAATACTGCTGTAAGAATCAAGCTAATAGTTGTATACACTTTTATGAGTATATACTTTCAGGATCCACGGTAATCCACGCAACTTTGCAAAGTTGTTTCTTCTCAATATCATATTTAATTTTACTAGTACTGTACGCTTTGATTACACATATTTTAGAATGAGTTCAAAACTTAAAGCTAAAGATCTATCTTGTATATGCAATTATCTTTTGAAGGATAGTCAATTATTATTATTACAATATGAAGTTAAAGAGAATCAAAGGTGGTGACATGTGTCAGCTGATGTATCAGTGAAGCGATTAACGGACATGGTTAAGTATTTTCCTGAACTATCTTTATTGATTAATTCTTTAAAAAACTATTCTTTATGTGAAAAACATTATAACCAGATTGTCAGAAGTTCTTTTGTTAAAATGAAAAATAAAGTGGATAATTCAAGTTTTTCAGATTCGAAAGAAAAGAAGAGAAAAAGAAGAAAGCTTACTGATGTTAATGACGATTGTGGGTTTTCCAATTTTGGAGTCCAAGTATCTTTACCGAATCCTGAGTATGAAATACTTTTTAAAAGGATCAAAAAGTTGGAAAGTCTTAATCAACAACTATTATCAGAAAACGAAACACTAAAAAGATTGTTAAACGAAAAGCTTACCGACGAACAAGATCATTTGAAGTTGGTAATGGAGATTGCTAAAATGAAATGACATAATGTATATAATAATATAACAAGTTTAATAAAAAATCAAAATCGATTTAATTTAAATAATCTTTTGGAATATTCTTTTTCAAAATGGCTTTCTGAGCAAAATCTAGTTGTTGTAAAGTTTATACAGGTCTTTACTCATAACGAATACAAAGATCGATGTGAAGAAGAAAAGCTTTTTAAGTGTGCAGTAGCAGTTAATGCTATATATGGAGCAAGGCACTTAAAATACGTATCTGCTGTCAATTTGGCCGATTCAGCTATTAAGTATTCATTAGTAAGATCAAAAATGGTTATTGACATTGATAATCATATAATGAGTTCTGATGGTTATTCAAAGTTTACTAATTGGTTAGAAACTTTAGCTACAGAACCACCATTACTTTCCAAAGGTTTCTTATTTTTAGCCTTCGACAATAAACAGAAAGGTCAAAAAAATTACTTAGATTGTGGATTTAATATCATTATATTTTATACTGTTATGAGTTTTGTTTCTTTTAACTATGATCAAGATTCTAATATATAGAAATATGGATTCCTGGTTATACTCTGAACTTCCTCAATAGCATTATAAGGAGTTATTTTTTTAACATCAGATATGAGAAATGAAATTTACAAAGAGCTTATTAATTATCTTACCACTATTTTAGAAGAACTTTGTATTAAGAAAAATCAAGAAACAAATGTAATCGATAAATTAGCATATCATCAAAGTCAAATGGGATATATAAAAAAATGCTTAGTTTGTCAAACATCTAATATTGACAATAGAAAGTGAATATGTCCTATATGCAATAATAACTTACCAATTGTCGTTGAGCTAGATCGGCAATTTAATAAGTTGCCTGATATTATGAATACCACTGCAAAATCACAAGGCATTTATTCTTGCATGTTTAGGGAGAAACAATCAAATCTGGAGAGTAAGGTTTATACGCCACAATTATCTGTTCCAGATCCAATAGGAATTAATCCAAACTCAGTTTCTAATATTCGGAAGGTACTTGAACATATTGAAAAAATATCTGGTATTAAAGATGGTAGTCGTACATGAGTTGTGGTAACTTGTGATGGAGTACCATATCATCGTGCATTAAAAATAAAAAAAGATTTTCCATGGCTTATATTAGTTCCAGGTGCTCTTCATGAAGAAATGAATATGCTAAAAGCATTTGTCGAATTAAATTGGGACATTGATATAAGAGATTTTGCTCAATATCAGGGATATCGAACTGAAAATCAATTACAGTTTTTTAAAAATTGTTCCGATCATCATAAATCATGGGATTCTATATGTAATATATATAGTCATACAATGGCATCTGAATTAATGTGGCCATATGTTATCTCGGAAGAAAATGCTACTGTTGAAGGATATTTAGAGTGGGTCCAAAAGCAAACAGATTCTATATTTAAATTAAAGTTTGAACAAATTTTTTTGTATTTACAAGCAATTATTAATTTTCGTATTGGAGTTCGCTTTAATAGGCCTTCATTAAGACTTGCAGCTAGACGAATATTTGCATTAATTTGGTCTGCCTGACGACATCCAATTTATTGACTAATCGAACTTGCTGATAAAGAACAAAAATTATGTTTAAGGCCTGAAATTGATAAGTTAATTCAAGAAAGAATTGTAACTTCACGTTTTAAACTTTCTGATCAATATTAAGGCCATGATGCAATATTGGAAGAGATTAATAAAATGCTCAAATCATTAGTTCCTTCTATACCTTCGCAACAGCATTGGGAAATTGCAGCACATAATTATATCAAATTTTTGAAATTACGTATTAATCTTTTTAATATAATAGGATATACTGAAAATGAAACACATAAGTCTCGTACACGTTCTAGCTTTATTGTAGAATCACAACAATTTCAGGTTCGAATAAGAAAAACACAATTTGTAAATCCAAATACTAATAATCGTATTTTTAAAAATATAAGTGGAGAATGGATATTAAGTGAAGAAATGAAAAGATTTAGTGAAATTGCGCAAACAAAAAGAATAGATTTTATTAAAGCAAAACTAACTAAAGAAAAATCATTAGATTTTTGGCAACCAATACCAATAATTCGTAAAGAAGCAGACCATCAAAAAACCGAAAGTTCACTAACAAAATCACAAATATTATCTATAATTAATTCTTTAATCCCTTTTTTAAGTGATACAGAACAATTGTGTTTTCGAGACTTATCAAACAAATCTCGCGATACCTTGGCAAATACTCTTCAAGATATTAGAAATATATTATCTGAAAATAGTATTAGTATTAATCAATAAAAAACAATTATACTTTTAAAATGTAACTTTAAAACTTTTCTATAATGTACTAGAAATTTCTAGAATTGATTTCTTACTATAAATGGTGCGATCTACATCTTCCAAATTGGGTAAAACTCCTGACTGTAATAAATACAAATATACAATTGTTTTAATTATAAAAAAATATTTGATATATTTTAAATTATACAAGTATTAATAAAGATTTGTATCATTATATATTTATCTATTTAAAAAAAAAAATAGAATATTTAAGATTAAACTAATTTATAATAAGCTTTTTTTTTACTAACAGGTATTAAATATAAGACTTTATTTAAATTTTCATTTATGATCATTACATTAACAATCTTTATATAAGTAAATTAATTATAATCTATTGTAACAATATAAGATAATATATATAGATTCTGAAAACTTATATGAAGAAAAAGAAGGGCAAATAATAGCTAACTACTAGTTACAGTATATTATAAATTGGTATATATACTCATTAAGAAAAGAATATGACTTGTTTGATGTAACTAAAAGGATTGGATTTTAAGTATATTAAACTTGAAAATCAGTTTGTTATTATGATATAGTCTGTAGATCTTTTTTATATTAGAAAATTTGTTTCCAATATGATATTATCATCTTATATCGATTTTTTGAAGGAGTAAGCTAACTGTGATTTTTAATATAAATAGGAATTGAAAAAATAAACAAGAAAATCAATTTCATGAAAATTTTTTTTGAGTATATAACAATAATAATAATGTCAGATATTCAAGATAGAAGCACTTGTTTAATATATACTTTTAATCAAATATTTTAAGCAGAATCAGGGCTTAGCCAAACAAAATCTTATATATTGTATATAATCTTTTATGTTAAAGAATTTTCATTTTTTATAATCTATTATATCTTTTTGTATATTTTTAGACTTTGGTATAGAAACTAATAACTATTGAAAATATTCCTAATAGCTTTTGTATAATCTAATTGTAATTTTTAATCAAAGTGATTTTATTATAACCTTTTTTAAATTAAATTCTTTTAAACAAGAGAAAAAATTTTTGTTAGGAAGTTTATATCTCTTAACAAAAGTAACTTTAGCTTAAGTAAAATATATGTTTAATCAAGATAGGAGATATTTGTATTTCAGAAAGTTGATAAAGTAGTTATGAGGTAATAAAAAAGAAATCTAAAAAGAAAACTTTCAATAAAAAGAAAAAACAGTTTATTAATAGGAAAGGAAAGTGAAAAAAGGAAAAAAAAAATTATTCTTTAGCTTGTAATTGTCAAATGTATATAAAGTTTCACTATAAAAAAGATTGATCTACTTTTAAACCTTTCTTTTCTTTGTTTCAGACTTTTATTATATATAAGTTTGATTAATTTATATTTTTTTAAGTTAGAATGTTTCTTTAAATATGCCAGTCAATATTATATATATATATAGTATGTTTCTTGAAGGATAATATCTGATAGTTAAAAAAGTCTTATGTGATATCAGTATATTTTAGACTTCACATGTTATAAAGTTTTATCTTTTACAGAAGAAGAGAAGTGAAGGGAAAAGAAAAAAAATTTTCCAAAAAAAGAAGTTTTTAAATAAAGTAGAGATAAATAAGAAAGAATTTTTTTTTTGTTTTTTTTTAAAATTAATTTTTATTAAATATTTTAAATTTTAAATATTTTATAAAGATATAATTTGAATTATTATATATTTGTATTACTATAAAAATTTAATTGATAATATATAATTCTAAATTAAATATAATTTTCAATTATTTATTATATGTTACTTAGTATTTCTATTATAATATAATTTTTTAAAAATAGTCAAATTTAATTTCACTATATATATGGTTTAAACTATTGTATTTCAATTGCAATGCTTCTTATTTATAACATTTTATATTATTAATTTGATATTTAATAATGTATATTTTTTTTTAATTATATTAATTATATTAAAATTGTTATAAAATTATCTTAATTAATTAAACAATTTATTTAATAAATAAAGAATTATATATAAAGATAAAAAACTTGAAAAAAGCAAATATCAAGCTAAAAAAATAATTAGATTTAATTGAATATATAAAAAATATTTTTCAAAGAATTAGATTAACAAAAGAAATTAATTGAGAATTCAAAAAAAAAATTGATTAACTAAATCATAATTTTCAAATAAATTTTATTTTATATAATTAAATAAATATCAATTAATGATTATTTGATATATTGTATATTCAAATAATATTTTTAATTAATATGCTGTATTTTAAACATTTTTTTTTTAAAAAAATTAATTAAATTAAATTAAAAAAAAAACTTAAAATTTTTTTTTAAATTTTGATTCTAACCTAAATTTTATTCTCTGTAATTAGAGTGTTTTGAGAAATCCGAATTACAATCTATTAAAAACTATTTATTTTAAAAGTTTAAAATAATAAATGTATAATTTGAATTTTAGAAAAAGGAAAATACTTATAGGATTAATATATTAAATATATGATGCATATTTGTATATTGATGTTTTTTTATTTGGATTATTATAGGGATTACTATTCACAACACGTAATTATACAAGACTGGATAGAAGGAAGGTTGTTTTGTTTTTTTTTTAAAAAAAACCTTATTCAACAAGTTTAAAAAAATCAATCTCGCTATTTACAAAAGATTAATACAGTAGTCATTTTAACTTAGTATTTTCATTAAACATAGAATGTTCTGTAAGTTTTAAACGCTCCATGTACAGTATATGTTTGATCTTTTGATTCATGTTTCGAAATCACAAGTGTAATATCAATATTATATTTTAATAATAGATTTATAGAAAGAATGATTAGGTATATTCATTAATCCGTTGAGTAATTACTATAAAAGGTTTTAATTGATATGTTAGTCTTTACTTTAGTGTGTAAGCATATTTTCATCAATATTTGTTGAGTAAGTTAATATCAAGAGTGTTCTAATTTTTTCTTAATACGATTACAGACGGCAAGCATATTTATTGAATAAATTTATACAAAGATATTTAATTATTCTTAGTTGCATTCTTTCTTTAACGACGATTATAGACTGTAAGTATATTTCATTAATATTTATTAAGTAATTAATATCAAATATATTTTAATTTCTAAGTTAAATTACTTATTTTAGGGAGTAAGCATACTTTCATTTGATTTGTTGAACAAATTATACTTGTGATTTGTGTTAATAATTTAATAATTACTTAGATGTAATTATAACCACTGTGGAAAACAAAATACGAGTGTCTTTCTTGCAATCTCCTCGCTTTAAAGAAGAATATTATAAATGGACAAGCGGGGATGAAGGTATTGATAAATTTATACAAAAGGCGCAGTTAAAGGCAACAAGTAGATTTAAAGTAGTTGAATAGATTCCATATTCAAAATTCACGAATATTAAAAAAATTGGTGAAGGTGGTTTCGCAAAGGTTTATTCTGCTGAAAGGAGGGAAGGAAATATATTATATTTGAGTAAATGCAATGATTGAAAGGGATCCGAGAAAATACAAGTAGCATTTAAATGTTTAAATAATTCTAAAGGTACAGTATATCTAAAGAATATTTGGAAAAGGCAATGAAAATATTTTCAATATGATATAAATTCTTGATATACAGTTTATCTATACTATCTCAAGATGATAATGTAAAGCGTCTTACAAAACTTACTATTATAATTATATAAATCAGCTAATAATAAGCCTTCACGAAGTGTACAGTGTCTTTGATCACAAAGGATGATAAATCAAAATTTTATGATTTTTATAGAATTTGAGCATACAAAGATTGTTTACGATATGTCATGGTAAGAGAGGTTCCGGCGTTTATATTATACTGCGTTAGAATTTATGAGATTTCTAACTCCGAATCAATTCTCGAATAATGAGTACTTCCTTTGTAGCACTCGAAGTTTTAAATTAAAAAAGATACACAAAAACTGCGGATATTTCTTCTTTGGAATTATCGTGTCAGAAATATTCTCTGGAGTTCCATCTTCCAAGTATGTTGATTGCGATAATGAAAAAGGTGAAGCTCTTGCAATCAGAATCTGTAAAGGAGAACAACCAAACATTCAAGATCTACCCCTTTAGTAATGGAATAATGTGATCCACCAAAATGAATTCCGCAAGAGACTTGGTCATAATTTTAAATGCATGGAAGTATCTTCACTCCAATTCCAAACTTGTTAAACAAATCAAAGAATCCGATCTTGCAAAGAAGATGAAAGGGGATCTAGATGAAAAATTATTAAAGTTATGAATATTTATAAATAATCGGATATAAATAGATACATTTCTACCAAGATTTTTAATATAAGGTTTGGCATTAAAATTTCCGAAAATAAACTTGTTTACAATATTTTGAGATGTTTTGTCATTAGTCGTTAACAATTATTCTTTTAGCAAGAATTTTTTGGTCAATATGCGTTTCTTAACATATTTACTTTATATATCTTTTCTTGATTAATTTTTACATACTGTATATACTGTATGTTGATTCAATATTTTGCTATATACAATTCGTTCTCACTGATAAGTGGAAATTATTAATCAATCAAAAAAAAAAAAAAAACTTTTTTCACATACAATATATCGTTGATATTAAACTTCGAGTGCTTGGCTACCTTTGACACTTATACTATTTTACTAATAAGACATTAAAGAATTTAATAATGCAAAGAAAGGGTTAACAGTTGAATTTTTGGATTGTGAAAAAGTTTTTGTTCTTTAAATTAGTACCTCTACATGTGAATGTTATTAATGTATGATAGTGGTATGACAAGATTGTTAACAATGATATTTATTTGCTTTTATGGTTATCTATTACTGTAACGAGATGTTTTTTGCTTTTATGGTACTTATTAAACGAGATGTTTTTTGCTTTTATGGTACTTATTAAACGAGATATTTTTTTGCTTATATGGTACTTATTAAACGAGATATTTTTTTGCTTATATGGTACTTATTAAACGAGATATTTTTTTGCTTATATGGTACTTATTAAACGAGATATTTTTTTGCTTTTATGGTTACTTAATAAAATGAATCGCTTTCTTCTTATTTATTGTTTAGTCATAATGAAGGGAAAGATTAGATTGATAAAGTTTAGAAGAATGGTGTAATGCTTTAAGCATTATTTCCATTGTTCCCAATGACAAGTTGAAAAAAAAAATATAAAGCAGATGTTATTGTGAGAACGACCTATGTGTATACAGGAATTGTTTGCATCGATTTCTTATGATACAGTTTATTCTCTCAACGTATTAAAATGTCAGACATTTACATTCCCAATATCTTCAAAGGCACGGTAATCAAACGCGATGATGTTAACTATGAAAGCGAATGCTATCAGTATGCATCGAGCTCGTACTTGAAGGAGGACATTGTTCGACCAATGGCTATTATAAAAGCAGCAGACGACAACGACGTGATCAACGCCATCAAGTTTGCAAAAGAAAACAATATCGCTGTTGCCGTGCGCACAGGAGGTCATCAATATAGCGGCGCGTCGTCCACAAATGGAAAAAACATTCAACTTGATTTATCCCAGACGTACAAGGATTTTCAATGGAACAACGAGGATCGCACGTCGGTGACGTTAGGTGTCAGCTTCTCGTTGGGCGAGTTCAATGCCAAGCTCGGAGAAGCAAGTCGATTTGTGCCACATGGTCAATGTCAATACGTCAATATTGGTGGACATGTTCAAACTGGGGGATACGGTCAGTTGGCTAGAAGTTTCGGGCTATTCTCGGATTATGTCGAAAAATTCTGCATTATTACCGCCGATGGTCAAAAACAAGAGGTTGACCACAGCAACAAGGATTTGTTTTTTGCTGTGTTGGGTGGTAGTCCTGGAAATTTTGGGGTGCTTACTCACGTCACATTGAAAGTCCTCAGAGACCAAGACTACCCAAATTCTCGCGGTCTAAGGGCCGTGTGTCCATACAATCGGGACCGTCTCAAGGAATTATTGGATATCATGGTGGATATGGCAGAAAATGAAAATTTCCCGGCCGATTACGACTATTCTGTCACGGTGTTGGAAGATCCTCCAAACCTTACGACTTCTGAGTTAACCTATGACCAGAGGTATAACCACAAATATGTTACAGAACAGTCTATAACTTGGCCCCGGATGATCGTCATTTTCGTGCAGTGGGCCAATCTGAAAGGAGCTCATCAAACATACGACCAGCAATTCATTGACAAAATTCGAAAGGCTGCCGGCATCACCATAATTAACGCCAAAAAATTAGTTATTGTCAGCGACCGTAAACCCACACCAATGTCTAAGTTGACCAGCGACTGGATTGTGCCAATCGGACGGGAGTTCAACCTTCCGTACTTCAAGCGTGTATACTCGTCCAATTCCAATTCTAAGAGACTCAAGTCATTCAAGTGGACTGATTGGATTTCGAATCGAATCGATGATGGATACACTCGGAAATTGAACTTGTCGGCACAATTTCAGCATTTTGGTGGCAAAAACTCGCGATTTTTCCAAAATGGAAAGAACAGTCACACGTCATTTAGTTGGCGAGATACTAAACTTGTCTGCACGTTGGATGTATTTTACCATACCGACCTATACAAGGAGGCGAAAATGTGGGCGCAAATAAGCGACTATGAGGGGGTTGGAAATTCGAAGGCCAAATTTTGCGAAGATGACCGTCGCCTTTTGTGGGGCTCATTCGATTTAGACTTGAGTGCCAATTGGCAGTATTATTACGACAAAAAAGCAAAGTACAATCAACTATGCAAAATCAAAGAAAAGTATGATCCGTCGGGCGTGTTCACTCCGAACAGATTTTGCATCGGCCTCCCAGTTCCAAAGGGGAAGGATACTATGCAGCCTAAACTCACGCCCGCTGATTTGGAGGAAATTGACTCTGATGAGCATCAACTTAAAGCGGAAAAGAAATTTTGGGAAATAATGAATAAGGAGATCGACAAACCTGTTTGTCTATGGGATGCCTGGCGCAAAACTGAACATGAGAATATAGAAGACATATAAAATGCGAAAAGTAATTTTGAACCATGAGACCATGATCATGTAATCAAGTATATGATCCATTTTTTTAAAGCTATTTTTTTGAATAATTTTTTTAAAGGCTTGTTTATTTTGTAAAAATATGTTGTATACAATTTAATTATTACTGAAGTTGTAAAATAAATTGTTAGAAGGCTATTATATAACTCGTTATTAGTTTAAAAATAAGAAAGCCTTTTGAAATCAAAAATAAACTTTTATTTTAATACTTTAGTATTACAAAAATAATAATAAATAATGTATTTTCAAACCTTATTTAATTTATAATTACTGTAATTGTAAAGTCAAAAATAACATCTTTTATTAAAGACTTTTAAGTTAAAAAATAAGTTTATAAAAATTATTATTTATTAAAAATAAAAATATATATTTTTTAATATAAAATTATTATATAAGAAATTATATACTTTTTAAAATTGAAATTTTAAAAATTTGATATATAAAATATATTTAATTTAAGTAAAATTATATTTTAATTATTAATTTACAGTAATTACAAAATTATTACTCAAAACTTTTTATATTATCATAAAAGCTTGAAATTTTATTAACAATATAAAAAAATATATATTTATTATAATTATTATTTTTATTATAAAACAAATTTTAAAAAATTTATAATTATTGTATTATATAATCAATATCAATTTTAATTATTATAATTAATAAAAAAAATTTTTTATCACAAATAAGTATTAAATATAATATTTTATTTAATCAAATATTTACTATTATTATATTAATAATTTTTACATAAATAAATTATAATTAAAGCTTCAAAAAGTATTAAACTAATATTAAAGTAATATTGAAATAGTATCAATCTATAGTAAATTTAATATATAAGTTGTGATATACTCATATGAATTTATAATAAATTTAAGTATTGAATTGGTATCAAACTGGTATTGAAGTGGAGTTCTAATTATAATTAATAAAAAAAATGTTTTTTTTTTTTTTATACCTAATCAGGCCATATATTCAAGTTTATTATTCCAAATAGTATGTTCGAATTGACCTGAGATACAAATGGATAGATATATAAAGTATCTAATAGATTTATACTAAGGGTTAAACTTATTTCTTTATATAGCACACCCATCAATAGCTACTGGCCTTTAGATATAATTAAGGAGAATGAATAAAGTTGCTCTATCTTGATCCATGTTCTTTATTAATCTCAATATCATTGCCAGTCCTTTATCAAGACTGTTTATCCCAACTAAACCTCTGTGATCCTAAGATATAAAATTTTTATTTTTTTGTGAAGGTAAAAGGGAAGGATAAAGGAGAAGGAGAAAAGTTTATGCTGATAAAATAAAAATCTCAACAAAACTAATCACTAGCCTAATGAGAGCCTTCTTTAATCTTGAGAAGAAAAGAAACCAACATAAGAGGGAAGGAGGAAGACTTCCAAACACTTCTTAACAAGAGAATACCTTGACACCTTGCTCTTTTGCTTTATCCGATTACATCATCAGTTATGATATAGTATGACATGAGGCATGTGTGGATATGTATCTTGTTTATATTTCTTTTACTTGCTAATCAATCAATCCAAGATTTCAACCAATCACCATCCAGAGTTTTCAGTATAACAGAAAATTCAGGGTCAAACTGAAGTAGGCAAAATTCTCCAGAAAAATCAAGAAAAATTGAATATACTTGAAAGTGTTAACTACCAGATATATATGAATGGTAAAAAAGATTCATATACCTGAATTTTTTCAGCTTATTCACCTGCCTGAACCAAAGGAGTTTACTTATAGTGAACCCAAGGTTCCTATTGTTGATGAAAAATTTTTAAAATTTTTAAATTTTGACAATTAATTTACATATTTATCATAATTTATTATTATTTCT